GGTGCGAGGGCGAGGTGGAGGGTGGAGGGGTGGACGGGTGAGTGAGGTGGAGGGTGGGCGGAGGGTAGAGTTGGAGGGTGAGGTGAGGTTGGAGGGGAGGTGGAGGGTGAGTTGGAGGGTTCCAGGTGAAGTGAGAGGTGAGGTGGAGGGTGAAGTGGAAGGGTGAGGTGGAGGGTGAAGTGGAGGGTGACGGTGGATGGTGAGTGCGAGGGTGAGGGTGAAGTGAGGTGGAGGGATGTGGAGGGTGCAGGTGGAGGGTGGAGTGAGGTGGAGGGGGGTGGAGGGTGATGAGGTGGAGGGTGAGGTGAGGTGGAGGGGAGGTGGAGGGTGAGAGTCGGAGGGTGAGGAGAGGTGAGAGGGAGGCGGAGTGTGGCGGTGGAGTTGAGGTGAGGTTTGAGGGAGGTGGAGGGCTTGAGGTGGAGGGGGAGGTGAAGTGGAGGGGTGGTGGAGGGTGAGGTGGAGGGTGAGGTGGGTGGACGGGGAGGTGGAGGGTAAGGTGGAGGGTGAGGTGAGGTGGAGGCGGAGGTGGAGGGTGAGGTTGGAGGGTGAGGTGAGGTGGAGGGTGGGGTGAGGTGGAGGGCGAGGTGGAGGGTGATGTGAGGTGGATTGGTGAGGTGAGGGGGAGGGCTTAGGGGAGGGAGGTGGTAGGGAGAGGTGAGGTGTGAGGGTGGAGGTGGAGGTGAGGTGAGTGGAGGGTGAGGTTGAGGGGCAGGAGGAGGGGAGGTGGTGGTGGAGGGTGAGGTGGCGGGAGGTGGAGGGTGAGGTGTGGTGGAAGGGGACGGTGGAGGGTGAGGTGGAGGGGTGAGGTGAGGTGGAAGGGGGGGTGGGAGGGGAGGTGGTGGGGTTGAGGTGGAGGTGAGGTGAGGTAGAGGGTGAGGTGGAGGGGAGGTGGAGGGTGAGGTGGAGGGGATGGTGGAGGAGGGGAGGTGGAGGGTGAGGTGGAGGGTGAGGTGTGGTGGTGGGTGAGGTGGAGGGGAGGTGGATGGGTGAGTGGAGGGGGTGGTGGAGGGTGCAGGTGGAGGGGAGGTGGTGGTGAGGTGAGGTGGAGCGGGAGGTGGACGGAGGAGGTGGAGGGTGAAGTCGGAGGGTGAGGTGAGAGTGGAGGGTAGAGGTGGAGGGTGAGGTGGAGAGGGTGAGTTGGCGATGTGAGGTGGGATGTGAGGTCGAGAGTGAGGTGGTGTGAGGTGGAGGGTGAGGTGGATGTGATGTGCCAGTGGAGAGTGAGGTGGAAATGTGAGGTGGAGGGTGAGGTGGTGTGAGGTGGCAGGGTGTTGAGGTGGATGTGAGGTGGAGGGTGAGTGGGTGAGGTGGATGTGAGGTGCGGATGGGTTAGGTGTCGATGTGAGGTGGAGGGTGCACTGGTGGATGTGAGGTGGAGAGTGAGGTGCGATGTGAAGGAGAGAGCGTGAGGTGAATGTGACGGTGGAGGGTGAAGTGGATGTGAGGAGGAGGGTGAGGGTGGATGTGCAAGGGTTGGAGGGTGAGTTGGATGTGAGGTGGAGGGTGAGGGGATGTGAGCGGGAGGGTGAGAGTGGATTGTGTGGCTGGAGAGTGAGGTGGATGTTGAGGTGGAGGTGAGGTGGTTGTGAGGGTGGAGAGAGAGGTGGATGTGAGGTGGAGGGTGTAGGTGGATGTGAGGTGGAGGTGAGATGGATGTGAGGTGATGAGTGAGGTAGATGTGAGGTGGAGAGGTGATGTGGATGTGACGGTGAGGTGAGGTGGGCTGTGAGGTGGAGGGTGAGGTGGATGTGAGGTGGAGGGTGAGGTGGATGTGAGGTGGAGGGTGAGGTGTATGTGAGGTGGTGCGGTGAGGTGGATGTGAGGTGGAGGTGAGGTGGATGTTGAGGAGTGAGAGTGAGGTGGATGTGATGGCGGAATGTGATGTGGAGGGTGAGGTGGATGTGAGGTGGGAGAGTGAGGTGGTTGTGAGTGCAGGGTGAGGTGAATGTGAGGTGGTGGGAGAGGTGGATGTGAGGTGGAGGCGTGAGGTGGAATTGTGGGTGGGAGAGTGAGGTGGATGTCGGGAGGCTGTGAGGTGGAGGGTGAGGTGGATGTGAGGTGGATGTGTGGTGGAGGGTGAGGTGGATGTGAGCGTGCGAGGGTGAGGTGGATGTTGAGGCTGGAGGGTGAGTGGAAGTGAGGTTGGAGATGGAGGTGGATGTGAGGTGGAGGGTGTGGTGGATGTGGGTGGAGAGTGAGGTGGATGTGAGGTGGAGGGATGAGGGTGGATGTGAGGTGGTGGGTGAGTTGAGGTGGATGTGAGGTGGAGTGAGGTGGATGTGAAGGTGGAGGGTTGAGGTGGATTTAAATTTTATTTTAATTATTTTAAAATTTTAATATTTTTTTATATGGAAAAGGGAGAGGGAAAAAAAAGAAAAGGAAAGGGGAAGAGAAGAACTTTCTTAGGGCCCATGTCAACTTAATACTTTGGGAAATAACCAAAATTTTTGGGAAAAGAGGGGGGAATAAGCAAAAAAGGGAAAATGTGGTTTGTTTTTTGTTTTTTGTGTTTGTTTTTTGGGTTTGTTTTCCTTGGGTTGTTCTCTTTGGGGGTTAGTTGTTTTTCTGGGGGGTCTCGTGTTTATCCGGGGGCTCTTTTTGTGGGTTCCGGGTGTTTGGTGTTTTTTTCTTTTAAAGGGTTTTGGTTTTGGGTGGTTTTGGGGAAAAATCTGTTTTTTTGGGGGGGGGTGGGGTGTTTTGGGGCCTTTTTTTTTTTTTTTTGTTTTTTTTTTTTTTTTTTTTTTTTTTTTTTTTGGGGGGGGGGGGGGGGGGGGGGGGGGGGGGGGGGGGGGGGGACTCGTTTGGGGGGGCTCTTGGTTGTCTTTTGTGTGGCCTGGGTTTTTGTGGGGGGGGGGGGGGTGGCGGGATGTTTTGTTGTGTTGGTGTGTTTTTTGGTGTGTCTGCGTGTGTGTTTTGTGTGTTGGTGTGTGGTTTTGGTGGTGTGTTTTTTGGGGTTTTGGTGGTGTTTGGTGTGTTGGGTGTGTGTGTTTTGGTGTGTGTTTTTTGTGTGTGTCGGGCGTGTGTTGTTTGTGTGTTTGGGTGTTGTGTTTGTGGTGTTGTGTGTGGTGTGGGGCTGCGGTGTGTGTTTGTGTTGTTGGTGTGTGTGTTTTGGGTGTTGGTGTGGTGTTTGTGTGTGTTGGTGTGTGTGTTTGTGTGTGGCTGCGTGTGTGTGTTTGGTGTGTTGGTGTGTGTGTTGTGGTGTTGTGTGTGTGTTTGTTGTGTCTGCGTGTGTGTGTTTGTGTGTGTTTTTGGGTGTGTGGGGTTTTTGTGTCTGCGGTGTGTGTTTGTGTGGTGGTGTGTGTTTGTGTGTGCTCGTGTGTGTGTTTTGGGTGTTGGTGTGTGTTTTGTGTGTGTTGGTGTGTTGTTTGTGGTGTTGGTGTTTTGGTTTGTGTGTGTCTGCTGTGTGTGTTGTGTGGTGGTGTGTGTGTTTGTGTGTTCTGCTGTGGATTTGTTGTGTTGGTGTTTTTTGTGTGTGTCTGCGTGTGTGTGTTTGTGTGTGTTTGGTGTGTGGTTTGTTGGTCTGCGTGTGTGTTTTTGTGTGGGTTGGTGTTTTTGTGTGTGTTGGGGGTTGTGTGTTGTTGCGTGTGTGTGTTTGTGTGTCTGCGTGTGTGGGGTTTTGTTGTTTTTTGGTGTGTGTGTTTTTGTTCCTGTGGGTTTGGGGGTGTCTGCGGTTTTTTGTTTGTCTCGGGTGGTTTTTTTTCTGCTGTTTGTTTTGGTTGCCCCTGCTGTTTTTTTTTGTCTCGTGGTGGTTTTTTGTCTTCTTTGGGGTTTGTTTGTGTCCTGTGTGTTTTTGTGTTGTGGTGTGTGTGTTTGTGGGGCCCTGCGTGTGTGTTTTGTGTGTGTCTGCTGGTGTTTGTGTGTGCTGGGTGTGTGGTTTGGGTTTGTGTGTCTGCGTGTGTTTTTTGTGTGTGTTGGTGTTGTGTTGTGGGTCGGGGTGTGTGTGTTTTGTGTGTCCCGTGTGTGGTTTGTGTTGTTGGTGGTGTGTTTGTTTTGGGGTCTGCGTGTGTTGTTTGTGTGTTTTTTTTTGGTTTTTGTGGTTGCGGGTGTGTGGGGGGGGGGGGGGCTGCGTTGTGTGTATTTTTATTTTTTTATCATAAATTTATAATTAAATCATCATCATCATCACATCACATCATGGGGGGGGAAGCGCTAAGTCCCAGGGGCCCTCACAGCACCAGGGGAAAAAGGGAGGCGCAGTCAATTTTTTTTCCCAGGAAATACAGAAGTGCATCTCCATTCCCTCGGATCAAAATCCCTTCTCTCCAGCATCACCGCGCCTCCCTTAAGGAGAGTGAAATGAAAAGGGAGAGAAAAGAGAGAGGAGAAGAGAGAGAGAGAAGAGAAGAGAGGAGAGAGAGAGAGGTGAACAAAGATTTAGTAACATAAAACAATAACATTTTTATTTCTTATTAAAACATAAATAAAATCAAGCCTATATACATTACAAATTTATGTATATAAATAATATAAAATATATATATAAAAAACTGTGCATATACATCATATACTTTAGGTAGATATAGTTCGATCTAAATAAATATACACGTAACATTTTGCAGGTGTGGGTTTTTGCAGGTGTGGGTGTTGCAGGGGGTGGTGTTCAGGTGGGGGTGTTCAGGTGTGGGGGGGTGTTCAGGCGTGGGTGTTGCGGGTGTGGGTGTTGCAGGTGTGGGTGGTGTCGCCGGTGTGGGCGTTGCAGTTGTGGGTGTCGCAGGTGTGGGCGTTGCAGGTGTGGTCGTTGCAGGTGTGGGTGTCGCAGGTGTGGGCGTTGCATGTGTGGTCGTTGCAGGTGTGGACGTTGCAGGTGTAGGCGTCGTGGTTCACCGGGCCAGACAGGTGTCAGAGCAAATCCTTGCATCTGTGTAACCTGCAAATGCAAAGACAAGTGTCTTAATTTCAAGAGAATGACAGACGTTCAATCCATGGCAGACATATATACTACCCACCATAGACATATTATCCACGCTGGATACCATCCATGCTAGACACATTATCCATCATTATGAAAAAATCTACCCATCAATTTTAAAAGTCTTCAATTCTTGTACATCCTATTCAATTTGATTCTATCCATAATAAATTTTAACACTCGTATCCATCCCAGCATTCATATTCTTAATTAATCCTAATATGACTATCCTCCTTCAAAAGAAGCACATCTATCCTTGCCTGTCTATCCCAGGATCTTCTAAATAATCCCTCACACTCGGCCAGTCCTTCACTCTGTTTTTATTCAATGTTCTTCTTTTCCATTTCGTTATTGTATGCCGGAGCGTTGGTCACTTGTTTACCGGTAATAACGGACCGTTGTTAATGGTAAGGCCGACTGGTACCGGGTCCCAGACCACTGTGTGAAACTCTGGTTTATTCTACATTAGGACTGACGAAGTCATTGGAGGCGAAGCGTTTGTTGTAAGGAATGTGTGTGTGCGAAACACAGAGAGAGACAGAACTCACCTTGAGGAACTCCATCGCTGGTCATTACTGTCGAGGGAAGTGTAGCGCCTCAGGTGTGGAGTTTCACTCGCGGTGTTCAGTCAAGGTCACCTGAAGGAAATGGGTCATGGGTTGGTGGAGGTGGAGGGAGGGCAGGTGGCCTCCCAGGGGCAGGAGGCCGCCGTAGGCCGGGTACAGAGGCCTCGTCAGTCGCTCCAGTTCGGCCTCCTTCAGGCGCTTGTCCTTGGCGCGGCGGTTCTGGAACCAGATCTTCACCTGCGTCTCCGTCAGGTTGAGCGAGGCGGAGAACTCTGCCCGCTCAGCGATGCTCAGGTACTGCTTCTCACGGTACTTCTTCTCCAGCGTCAGCAGTTGTTCCGAGGTGAAGGGCGTCCGTGGCTTCCTGTTGGGCTTGTGGCGGCGAAGCACCGGTCCAGACAGCTTGGGCAGGTGAGCACCGCCGGCTGGAGACACACGGACGTAAGGAAGGTAACGGAATGCCTGGTGGTGAGGCAATGCGAGTGCCGTCGGACGGCTGGCAGGAGTCGCTAAGCCTCCGACGTTCGGTCGAGTTCGCGAGTTATCGCAATCCGACGAACCCTCAGAGCTGCAGCTTACGCTGGAGGGACTCGAGGCCGGAGATGGCCTACTGTCCAGGCCTAGGATGGCCTCGATCCCGAAGGACAACTTAGGCTTGCTGACGACCGTGTTTTCCATTATTTGCAGGACTAGCGAGGACTGGACCGTCCAGACCAGCAGCGGCGGACCTTATAACCGCTCCGGCGGTCAGGTCAAGGAAGAGGGGGAGGAGCTTAACGAAACACACAACCAATCATCGAAGTGGCTTCTGGAGTGAGTTTCCGCTTAGCTAATTATAATTGGTCTCCGTTTCAACAAATTCTGAATATCACGAAAAACAGGGAAAAAATAGAGTAAATCAAATAATTCGACCCAGTCATCGTAAATTATATAGTTATTGATGCAACTGGATTGATGGAACTGGATTGATGAAGCTTGACTGATAAAGCTTGATTGACTGTACTTTAACAATTAAGAGGACGTACTTGGTAGTTACGCAGTTTGGTGTTGGTGATGCATTTTGGTGAAGTTGTGAAATAATCCAGGATAATATTATTGTGTTAAGGAGGATTATACTGTTATATGATAAGTGTTATGATAGGATATTGGACACGATTATATGATAATTCGGTATTTTGAGTGTTTATTCGGTTTGATTATAGAATGTGTTACAGGAACATAACACGATATGTTGAGTGACTGTACAGCATGATGATGCTAGCATGATGATGCTAGCATGATGATGCTAGCATGATGTAGTGCATCATCATGCTAGCATGATGCCATATGTTGTCATTACATGCGAGACATCTCTCTCGACTTATATAGTCTATGGGATCGTTATCGGCCCTCCGTCCAATGATGACCACTAGTCATACTTTGTTGCCTCAGTCAGCTCAGCACACCGAGGTCCGTGTTGTCGATCCCCGGTGCGGGTGGAAACCAGGACGATTTCCTTTTAAGAACATCCTGCTGTCCCCTGTTCACCGAGCAGTAACGTAGGTACTTTGGTTTAGTCGACTAGGTGTGGTCGCATCCTGGGTACAAAACTAGGCAATCGGTCCTTAAAAAATGGTATGACTGAAGAACTATTGAGCTCAGGCTGATGGGCGATTAACCTCTCAAACTCCTGAGCTGATCACCACCATTCTTCTCTGTATTGGACTGATGAAGGCAATGGTTGTCTAACTATCATTATGTTACATTTCTATACAGTGGGGGTTTTGGTGCAGGGGGTGGCAGGTGGTGTACGGGGTGCAGGTGGGTGTTGGGGTGTAGGTGGGTGTTGGGGTGCAGGTGGGGTGTTGGGGTGTAGGTGGTGTTGGGTGTAGTGGGTGTTGGGGTTAGTGGGTGTTGGGGTGAGGTGGGTGTTTGGGATGTAGGTGGTGTTGGGGTTAGGTGGGGTTGGGGTGTAGGTGGTGTTGGGGTGCAGGTGGGTGTTGGGTGTGTGGGTTGGGGTGCAGTGGGTGTTGGGGTGCAGGGGTGTTGGGTGCAGGTGGGTGCAGGTGGGTGTTGGGGTGCAGGTGGGTGCTGGTACGGAGGTGTTGGGGTGCAGGTGGGTGTTGGGGTGCAGGTGGGTGTTGGGGTGCTGTTGGGGGTTGGGGTGCAGGTGAGTGTTGGGGTCAGGTGGGTGTTGGGGGGGCAGGTGGGTGCAGGGGGGTTTGGGGGGCAGGTGGGTGTTGGGGTACAGGTGGGTGTGGGGTGCAGGTGGGTGTTGGGGTGCAGGTGGTGCAGGTGGGTGTTGGGGTGCAGGGGGGTGTTGGGGTACAGGTGGGTGTAGGGTGCAGGTGGTGTTAGGGGTGCAGGGGGGTGTGGGGTGCAGTGGTGTTGGGGTACAGGTGGGAAATAGATGGGGCAAGGTGGGTGCAGGTGGGTGAAGGTGGGCTGGCAGGTGGGGTAGGTGGGTGCAGTTGGGTGCAGGTGGGTGCAGGGGTGTTGGGTGAAAGGTGGGTGCAGGTGGGTTGTTGGGTGCATGATGGGTGTTGGGTACAGGTGGTGTAGGGGTGCAGGTGGTGTTGGGGGCAGTGGGTTTGGGTGCAGGTGGGTGTTGGGGTGCAGGTGAGGTGCTGGAGTACAGGAGGGTGTAGGGTGCGGTGGGTTGGGGTGCAGGTGGGTGTTGGGTGTAGGTTGGTGTTCGGTGCGGGAGTGTTGGGGTGCAGGTGGGTGTTGGGGTGCAGGTGGGTTTGGGCAAGTGGGTGTTGGGGTACAGGTGGGTGTAGGTGGGTGCAGGTGGGTGCAGGTGGGTGTAGGTGGGTGCAGTTGGGTGCAGGTGGGTGCAGGTGGGTGCGGGGTGGGTGTTGGGGTGCAGGTGGGTGCAGGTGGGCGTTGGGGTGCAGGTGGGTGTTAGGGTGCAGGTGGGTGTTGGGGTGCAGGTGGGTGTTGGGGTGCAGGTGGGTGTTGGGGTGCAGGTGGGTGTTGGGGTGCAGGTGGGTGTTGGGTGCAGGTGGGTGTTGGGGTACAGGAGGGTGTTGGGGTGCAGGTGGGTGTTGGGTTGCAGGTGGGTGTTGGGGTGCAGGTGGGTGTTGGGGTGCTGGTTGGTGTTGGGGTGCAGGTGGGTTCAGGTGGGTGCAGTTGGGTGCAGGTGGGTGCAGGGGGTGCAGGGGGGTGCAGGTGGGTGCAGGTGGGTGAAGGTGGGTGCAGGTGGGCTCCCTCAACACCTTCATGATCACCGTGACAAATGTGGATATTCTGAGAAAGACCGTCTGATGCGGCCCTATGGGAGATGGGGAGGGGGTGGTGGTGGTGGGAGATGGGGAGGGAGAGAGATAGGTAGAGAGGGAGAGGGAGAGAGGGAAGGAGAAGGAAACTGGAGGTGTGGGGGGGGGGTGAAAGAAAAAGAGGTGAATTGGGGGAAGGAGGTGAAGTGGGAATTGGAGGAATTAGATGGGTTGGGGAGGGGGAGAGGGGGAAGGGGCCACCAACTTAATCCTGATCACCCTGGACGACGTTTTGACAGCTACTGATGAGCGAAACAATAGGATTATGTTGAGTCCTTAATGATGCTACACACACACGTACACATATACACACACACACACATGTACACACAAGTACATACAGGTACACACAAGTACATATACGTACACACAGGTGCACACATGTACAGATATGTATACATCTGTATACGTAGGTACACACATGTACACATACGTACACACAGATACACACACGAACACACAGGTATACACATACACACAGGTACAAACACACACACACACACACACACACACACACACACAACACAACACACACACACACACACACACATACACACACACACACACACACACACAAGTACACACACGTATACACAGGTACATGCACACACAGGTAGGTATACAAGCACATACACAAAGGTAAACACACGTACACACAAGTACAACACACACATACACCCAGTTACACACACATACATACATACAGGTACACACACGTACATACACATGTATACATAAGTACGTTCATGCACACAGGTGCACACAGCTACTCACACATACACACAGGTACACACACTAAGCCCACTTACAGGCTCACTCACATGTACACATTAGTATACACACATACACTCACTTAAAACACGCACACACAGGTACACATAAGTAAGCACATGTATGCACACGTACACACAGACAAGCACACAGATACACACAGGTTATCACGTATGTACACACAGGTACAGACCTTCACACTTACACAGGATGAAAAATATACATGCTTAAATACACGTATATGGAAGATGTAATACGTACACGAGTGCACAGACACATGTACAACTGGATATCCATAAAGATACCCAAGCGTTACACACGTGTCTAATTTATCTATTTGTAGATAATTTAGACACATGTATTTCTGTCAGACACAGCAACATCTTGGGATCTTAATACAGGGAATTCTTCACTTGTCTAACCCTTGTCACGACCTACTTCCACACTGGACAACTGTGACACCACCTACCTGCTCTATACTTCTCAAGATTGATGGACTGACCACATCGACTCAAGGTTGAGGGACTGATTATCTCAAACTACTTCTGTTCTTCATCATTCTCCTTTATATGGACTGATGAAGCCACTGTGTGGCGAAACGTTTCCTCAATTAAAGATACCGAAATGTTGCACATGTGTCTAATTTATAATAATAATAATAATAATAATAATAATAATAATAATAATAATAATAATAATATAAATAATAATAATATAAATAATAATAATAATAATAATAATAATAATAATATTAATAATAATAATAATAATAATAATAATAATATAATTATTATTATTTATTTTAATGAAGAGTGCTAGACCCGTATGGATTAATAAGATTCTGGAGAATAGGCAACAGTCAGGTTTGATCCAAGGAAGAGGAGGGTACGTCCAGTTCCTTGGATCAAGAAGCTTTTCCTTTCATGGAAATTAATTTGTATGGTATTGTGGAATTGTGTGGTGGTGTTGAAAGTGTGTGCTGGTAGAATTGTGTGGTAGTGGTGGAATTGTGTGATGATGGTGGAATTGTGGTAGTGGAATTGTGTGGTGGTGGTGGAATTGTGTGGTGGTGTGGAACTGTGTGGTGGGGGAATTGTGTGTTGGTGGTGGTGGAACTGTGTGATGGTGGAGGTGGGATTGTGTGGTGGTGGTGGAATTGTGGGGTGGTGGTGGTGGAACTGTGGTGGTGGGGGAATTGTGTGGAGGTGGTGGAATTGTGTGATGGTGGAGGAATTGTATGGTGATGGTGAAATTGTGTGGGGGTGATGGTGGAATTGTGGTGATGGAACTGGGTGGTGGTGGAATTGTGTAGTAGTGGTGGAATTGTGTGATGGTGGTGAAAATGTTTTGGGGAATTGTGCGGTGGTGGAATTGTTTGGTGGTGGTGGTAGTGGTGGAATTATTTGGTGATGCTTGAACTCTGTGGTGGTGGAATTGTGTGGTAGTGGTGGAATTGTGTGATGGTAGTGGAACTGTATTTTGGGGAATTGTGTGTGGTGGCGGTGGAATTGTGTGGTGGTGGCGGTGGAATTGTGTGGTGGTGGATTGTTCAGTGGTGGTGGAACTGTGTGTGGGGGAATTGTGTGGTGGTGGAATTGTGTGGTGGCGGTGGAATTGTGTGGTGGCGGTGGAATTGTGTTGTGGGGATGGAATTGTGTGGTGACGGTGGAATTGTGTGGTGGTGGTGGAATTGTGTGGTGGTGGAATTGTGTGGTGGTGGTGGAATTGTGTGGTGGCAGTGAAATTGTGTGGTGGTGGTAGAATTTTTGTGGTGGGGTGGAAGTGTGCAGTGGTGGAATTGTGTGGTGGTTTTGAAATTATGTTGGGGTGGAATTGTGTGGTGGCTGTGGAATTGTTGTGGTGGTGGGAGAATTGTGTGGCCGTGGTGGAACTGTTTGGTGGTGGTGGAATTGTGTTGTGGTGGTGGAATTGTGTGGTGGTGGTGGAATTGTGTTGTGGTGGTGGAATTGTGTGGTGGTGATGGAATACGTGGTGGTGGAACTGTGTGGTGGTGGTGATGGAACTGTGTGGCGGTGGTGGAATTGTGGTGGTGGAATTGTGCGGTGGTGGTGGAATTATGTAGTGGTGGTGGTGGAATTGTAGTGGAGGAACTGAGTGGTGGTGATAGAGATGAGTTGTGTGGTAGTAATGGTGATTTACGGTGGTGGTACTGAAAATTTATTGTGGTGGTGTT